ACAACAGACGTCTGAAGAAGGCTAGAGGGTATAACAGCCGAAACGTGAGTATAACAAACAAAATAAGCATATTCGCCTGAATAAAAAGCATATAATAATGATAATTCCTCATTTAGAACATTTTGATAGAAATTATTTTTTTAAATTATAGTGATGATATTTAAATAAAATTTACATTTTTAAGAGTTTTACATCTTTTCAAGCAACACTTTCATCATACAGACATAAAAAATGAAAAAATATCTCTACTTTCTAAAGTCAGAAATGAAATGAAGTAGTATTTGAATTTCTAGGATGAATAGTTATCATTATTTATATGTAAACTATTGTTCACATCTGTTGTTGTTATTATCACAACATTTCAGTTGTTGTACCTTATGGCATCCATAAATAACAGCAGTAGAGTGTTCTCATTCCACTGACTTAGGGATATCTCACCTAGCTCTTATTGCCTGGCCCATTTCTACTGAGTCCAAGACTGTACCTTTAAGCATCTATAGTAAAATTTGTGAATATTTTTAAATTTATGAACCATATTAAATAAAAAGTAGATATTATAACTAAATTATCATAAGAAATTGAAAATCAGATAGTTGTCTATAGATACTAATATTATTTTGTAACAATGAAATTTGAAATTATCCAGATTTTTTAATATGATAAGAAGTGTAGTAAACCTTTCATGCTTATATTTGATAATTTAATGCATAATTTGAACAGCTACATATCTTTAAATAATCTTTGTAAAATTGCATAAAAGTTTGTCAAATGGACCTCTTTTAAAGTGCTGCCATAATTTTAAAATATTTGTTCAATTTAAAGAAAACTAGAAAACATTTTTAAACATACGTTTTATCAACCAATATATTTACTATGTTGTTCCACTATAATCTGCCAGCTTTTAGGCATCTTCAAGATTCCATCCTACAAAAGTTTTTGTGTTTCTCAGGAATAAAGAAAGTTCCATTTTCTGTATTTATTTTTTGCCTGATAGAATATTATGCTTCTTTTATGCAGTGGCCATTTAACTTCCAAAGCCATGATATACTATTTGATGTTAGTGAAACAATCTCTATCTTTATGAATAAATGGAACCATTATAGCTTCTAATTTTGTTTTTGGTAGCCCAATGTTGCTACACTGAAATAATAAAATGGACCATAAAATTCTGTTACTGTTTATTAATCATATTAGCCTATTTCTAAATGCTTGGCTGAGCTAATACTAGTAGTAATCATGAGCCAAATTACAAGTTAACATAGTTTATCTATGTATATTATAAGAATATCGATAAACATCAGACATGTGGATATGTTATTTTCTTTATCAAGGAAATAATATTTGTATTAATATGATAAAAGCAAATGATTATTTCAAACATAATTTATTTTTATGAAGCAATTACCACTCCTGTGACTGTTCAATTGGTTGGAGGCAATGGTAGAAACAATGGACGTGTTGAAATTTTATACCAAGGAAAGTGGGGAACTGTGTGTGATGATAGATGGGATGATAATGAAGCTAATGTTATATGCCGTATGTTGGGATACAGGTAAATGCATCCTCTCTTTTTTTCAAATCTTCTTACTGAAATAGATCATTACATTGCCATTTTTAATGGCCAGAGGTGTCTTTATCCATTTTTATGTTTCTCTTCCCTATTTAATGTGCATTTATTCTTTAACAGGACATTTTACTGTATTGCTTTTGTGATTCTAATATACTTTACTTATTTATTCAGAACCAAAATTGTCAAAATTTTGAGTGACTAAAAAAATGAACAAATGAAAGAAGAAAACTATATGCTCCAAATAGCAAAATTCCTAGAATGTTTGCAGATGTGTAACAAGGAATACTAGAGAGTTTACAATAATGATATATATGATAGTTAAAACATATAAATTGAGAACATTTCCTTATGTTGAGCAAATGGTTGTTTAAGCTCTTCTTCATTTTCTAATGAATATTCACTTTTTTTTAAAATGACTGTGATCCTGTACTGGGGAAAAATGAGATAATTGCATTTTCCAGTTATGGAACTACCCTCACAGATAAATTTGTTCATTGACCTCATGAGGCACCTGGCTTCACCATTTGCTTTAGGCCAGAGGGGCATGGTTTTACCTTTAAGAGAACCTCTCTCTAAATGCAAAGTCCCTGAATTTCTGACCTTGAAAAAAGGATCGTTATCTGCCTTGACTACTACATGCAAATATAGAGTTTAGACAAGAGGTAAATGCCTTTGCTAATGTTGACAGATTTATCTTTACCAGGAAACCGGCTATATTCATCAGTAGTAACTAGTACTTAATCACCTGACATGAAAGGTCCTGGAAAGTCTAGGGCGATTTCTATCCATGGAGCAGAGAGTAACAGTGTCAGGCAGAGCAGTTCATGATGAACTGGAGTAGGAGTTGATGATTGATGCCTGACACGGCACACAACCTTGAACAATCTCTTCTACTATTCTTTCAATGCCTGGAAACCATACCTTCTCTTTAATTAACCACTTCATCTTGATGATCTCTGGCTAGTGTAGTGTGTGATGCCAATTTTTTCTTCTACCGCGCTGATTGAGCTACTAAGCTGTAGTCCTGCAGAACAACACTGTCTGTAATAGACAGCTCATCCTTGAACTGGATGAAGCTGGATAAATATGGATTACTGACATTAGATTTTGAAGTTGGGCATCCTGTTGTGTTACATTTCTGACTTCTTTTAGATTCAAAGTTTTGGGTACTGCATTTTTCATCACATAGTGTGCATATATTTCATCCATGTTGTCGCTAACTTTCTGACTTTACAGAGATAATCTGCGGGTTCTTTTTGTCTCTTCTTGGGCAGTATATTAACTAATACTTGTATGGCATGAGTCAAATTCTTCAATGCTCTATGGGGGTCATAGCTGGCTTCTGACTATACCTAAAATTTGTTTACAGTTTGTTATTACCTTGAATTGTGACTGCTAGAGATGCAAGTGCTCAACAGCATATATTACTGCTAGCATTTCCATTTCAGTTTGCAAATTGATTTGCCCTACTTCATGAGGGCTCTGATTTCATAGCAGATTATTTTGCCTTCTATGGTGAACATATAGTTGTATTAAAATAAACAGTTGATTTGCCCACACCAAGAAGATTAATGAATTCTATTTGATAATGACAAGGAAACACGCAGGTAATTTTAACAAAACAAGATAAGGAATTTATTTATGAATTTACATGCTTGAAGATGTGTCAGTAGCTTGTTCCAGTAAAAGAATAATAAATTTTTAAAGTATGAATTGTCAATAATTGTTTTTAAAGTATCAATTGACAATGAGGAAATGTTCATACAACAGGTTAAGTGATCTGACATAAAATAATATTAAATGTTTAAAACAAAGGTAAGAGAGTCCATTGAACACAGAAGGGATATATGGTTTGCATATGTTCAAAAATTCGATGAAAAGAGATAGTTTGAAATATTTAGCTTTCTTGGATTGTTGAAAGAAACTTCTGTGAATTGCCATGTGCTTGGTTAAGGTCAATAATATAATTGGTGAGTAATTTGATACTTATTAATTTAACATTTCTCCTCATTTTATATAAAAACGATTTTGTATGGGTTTGTTATTTTCTTTTCTTTCTTTCTCTTGGCTCAACAGCTAATTTCTGTGAAGACAAGGTTTTCATTTGTCCAAAAGCAATTTCTCATAGGTTTGCACATTTATTTCCATCTGTTTCTCAGCTCACCTGAATTCGAAGGGAGTGTGTAAAAGGAGTTATTATTATTTTGTATTCATTACAAATATTGCCCCCATTTCCTGGGACTTGCATTTACAATGAAGTTCCTTTGCTTATCAGGGTTGAAGCATGCCATAACAATGGCCCCAATGTTTTTGAGATTAATGGCAGCTTTCTGCTCAGTGTTATACCATTTCTAGGATACATCCTTCTTTGTGAGCTGTTGAGGGTATTTGCTAATGGTAGCATAATTGGGAAACATACTGAGCCATGCTGAGGAATGAGAGGACTTCTCTAAGAGAGATACTGTTAACAATTGCCTGCATTTTAGGGGAGATCAAGTGCAACTCTCTTTTCAGTAAAAGTAAGGTCAAAGAAGGTGAGCCCCATAACTAAAAGCCAGCTGCTGTGTAGTCTTCCAGTCTGTGACAGAGAAGTCTATTTTTAACAAAATAAATTTTTAATTTGGCAGATGGCTGAAGTGGAAGTGTTCCCACTTGCTGGTCTACACTGACTATCCTACACCCAGCTAATCTGATTCCTGACCCATTCACACTACAATTGACTCATCCACCACAAGAACCCATCCCTCTTTATTCAATCCAACATATATCACATATTTGCCAAGGACCTGCTAACACAGATGGTATATTTTTTTTTTAGATATGTGCAAACGTTTATTGTTATTCCTTTATTTTCATTTTTCTTATAAAATTATATAAAAATTTACATAGGAAAGGAAGGAAGAGACGTGAAACCCAAAATTACTTCTCCTTTGTGGAAGCCCTTCTTTTATTGGGTTGGAGGTGGGAGATGGTAAAGCCTTGGAAGGAGGCTCCTGGCCCTACCTGCAATTGTCAGTTGCTCCAGTTGTTCATTCCATGCTAGCAAAGCATGGGCAGATTGTGTCTTGGGTCATGTCTTGCTCTGCCCTGCTTCGAACTGACTTCATCTCCTGTTTGGCCATTTTCTCTTCTTTCTTCCTTCCCCTTTTCAATGGTGAGGACTGAGATGGAGGCATCTCTTTCACCTCCATATACAATATGCTCTAGTTTGCAGCAGCTACTATTCCTCCTCCTGGTACTCAGGTTGAACATGCTGCTGCTGCTGCTCCAGCTATTCAAGCTGCTGTGATTGATGCTGCTTTGGTTGTTTCTAGTGCTGTGACTTCGTTGCCTGCTGCTCCTACTGCTGCAGTTTCTGCTGCCATGGCTGCTATTGCTGCTGTAGCTTCTGTGGTTGTTACAGCTTCTTTGGCTGCTGCCGTTTAGGCTGATGTTTGGCCTTCTTGTGGCTGCCTCTTTTCTTGGACACCCTGCTGGGGTGAGATGCAGAGTAGCAGACTTTACACCCTTCCTCATCACATCTTTCCATTCATTGGTGCCCTTGCCTGTCATCTCATCCTCCACTACACCTGTTTCTGGTTTTACTGTTGATGTTATTGTGGTTCCTTCCAAACAAGCTTTGGCCAAGTGCCCACTCACTCCACCATAAGTTCGACTGAGTGGGTCACTCAGACTTGTCTTGGGTGATTATCACTCTTAGTAATTTACCCGTACATAGTGTTGAATTGTATTGGAACTTGTCTTCATTTTGTTATTTCCTTTGCTTGATGGTTAACAATTAAAAAGAGATGTTACTCGCAAAAGACTCCAACTGATTCATTCCGATCTTTTCCCTCTCAATGTTCATACTTGATCACATGACTCTGCACATGTGTGAGAATCTATTTTTAGCTTTCGCTCAGACATGTTACTAAGGTCATCAGCCTGTTTGACCTAATTGTTCTTCTAGTCAGTGACTACTATAACAGATTGTAAGAGAGAGGGGGAGTTAATGTATTATATTATTAGAGAGGTAGAAAGAGAGATGGTTCATTAAGTGTAAAATGTGTGTGATTAGGGGTTTTGGCTGCATAGAGATATAACACCAGATACAGAGAATGGGTTGTAAAATTGTGTTTTGTTAATATCCTAAGTTAAGCAGGGAGAATGTTTGTCTTAAAAATCAAAATAAATTTGTTTCTATTTTGATGTTTTTGATGTAAAAATCAAATATACATATAATGTTTTTCTATGTTAATATAAACTGTAAATATAATCTAAAACTATTTGTATCATGTCTTATAACATATAAATACTAATTTCATCAGTAATCTTTTGTTGTTGCAGTGGTGGTACAGCTCAAGGAAGTGCAAATTATGGATCTGGTACGGGAGTAATTTGGCTCGATGAGGTAAACTGTTTGGGAAATGAAATTTCAATTGACCAGTGTGAGAAGAATGAATGGGGGGAACATAACTGTGTACATTCTGAAGATGCTGGTGTTAATTGCAGTAAGTATTTATATAGTTTTATTCAGAATTTATTTGCAAGTGAAATTCACAATAGGACTAAATTTACAATTTATTATAATTTGTAATAATTTGTCTAATTAATATTTAGGTAAAATTATATAATCACTGTGAACTTTATATTTAGTTTTTTTCATCTAAGTTCATCCAACAAAGCCTAATAAAGCTTTTAACAGATGATAAACCTGAGGTCTAGCATAGTTTCTGAGCTTAAACATTATTACCATTAATCCAGGGTATTCCAGTACAGCCTTACAATAGCATCAGGTTTTGTTGATATCTGTGAAAATATGTGATGCTAATAGACACACTGATTGATCTTGTTAGCCTCTTAATATAATTATTATTACCTTATTTAACAAGGTGTTATATTTCCTATTTGGTTTTATTAATTTAAATCAGACACTGGTTTTAGTATAGCTTGTTTATTCAGTCATTTTGGCTTCTACTGATAAAACAATTAAAGGGACACAACTCTCTAACTTTCAATATCTCTGGTTATATCCCACTTCAAATGAAAATATACTGTTCCCAAAAATTACTGTTTTAAAATAAAATTGTCTGTTTTCCCCTCTTTGGAGATAATAATAAAAAAAATAATGATTATTTTAATTGTCTTTTTTATTTATTTAAATAAAGTCCTTAAATTTTGTTGTGGGCTTTAGTGTTCTCCTAGGATGGTCCAATGGTGTTGGTAGTTGGCCTGGCATTTGTACATGCTGAGCTGTGGTAGGTGGGGGTATTGACACTTGCTGTGGGATCTGTACACCTATAAGATGATGATGTTGGACTATTCTGTCTGATCCCTTGACTTCATAGGTTAAAAGTGTCCCATCTCTGTGGTCTGTATGGTTCCCGCAAATGGCTGTCAAGTGGGGTTGCTCTTTGACATGGAATAGCCATTTGGTAGTCCATCTTTGTTTTGCTTTTACCATAGTATTTTTTATTGTTTGGACCATTTGTTCAATGAAACCATTTGAAATTGTGGGTATCTTGGATTGGATATGAGTGTACTCAGTGGCAAAATTCTGGAAATCATGACATAAAATATTTAGCATTGTTTGTGTACAGGCATTCTGGGATGCTTTGAAGTGCTCAATGCAATTTGCAATTGTGATAGTCTTCATTGTCTTGATAAATGACATTTTGCTGTATTGGTCAAGTAAGATTTGTTGTCCATTGAAGTCAATGATGTCAGCTGCAATGAATTGGAATGGTCTTTAGTGATCATTTTCTATTTGGTATTCTTTCTCTGATGCTTGTTGCATATCTCACATGTCCTCAGTAGTGTTTCAATATCTTTGTTTATCTTCTCCAATAAACACTATTTCCTCCTTTTAGTTGGCATTTTTCTATTCCTTGGTGTTTATCATGAATTCTTTGAAGGGCATTGTTTTGCATACTTTTTGGTATGTCTATGCATTCACCTTTAGTCACCAATCCATCTTGTACTGATAGACATTCTTTCAATGACTTTGAGAATATCTTTCACATCCTTTGGCCATTTATTTATGTAATAAATAATTGTATTAGAGTTCTCAACTTTTCATCTTATTCTGTAGCTTCTTATAAGTCCATTTGCTTTTATGCTGATATGTTGATAGTATTTATTTTCATATCTCTATATCTAGGTTAATTTCTTTGCTTTATGTTGGCTGTACTCTTGATAAGTAATATGGTATTCTCATTTCTTTACCTGACTTATATATAATTTGAATATCATATACTTGTAGCCTTAAGAATATTCTTTTCAATCTTGAGGGTGTTTGTGCAATGTTTTTGTTCTGTATGTTTTCTAATGGTTTGTGGTCTGATTCAGTTTAAAATGCTTTCAGTAGTGTTTGGTTGTGAAAGATTTCACACATATATATATGTGTGTGAAATTTTTCTCAACCAAACACTACTGAAAGCAATTCTCTTTCTACATTTGCATACCTTGATTTTGCATTAGCTAGTCTTTTGTTAGCAAATCCAACAATCACAGATTTATTTCTGGTAGCAGCAAGTTGTGAAGCCATTATGAACATTTCATTGATGATTTATCTAACAGAAGTAGAAGAATTGATATTTAACCAAATCAAAGAGATTATTCTAAGAAATATTTGACCAAGGAAAAGGTTGTTCATTGCCGAATGAGTCAAGTTCTTGTTATTAAAACAAGAATGTCAGGAACCCATGATGGAATTTCTGAACTGGCTACAAGACTCCAGCACATATTGTGAATTTCAATGTTTAGGGCAAGAAGAAATGTCTATTGAAGAGGAATTAACTAAGATAATAAGAAGGCATGTGGAACACTTCCCATAGATTTTAAATGTTAGAATGGTTGTAATTAAACCAAATGTCATTAGAGATGTTCATCAAATTTATACAACTGAAAAATTCAGTAAGGATAAAAATCAACCCGAAATTATGAACACATACATGATCAAGAAAACAGCACTAAAATGCAAATATTGTAACTTGAAACATGAAACAAACATGGAAAAATGTCTGGCATGGGGACAGATATGCAAAAATTGTAAAAAGAAAAAAACATTTTCAATCAGTGTGTAAATTAAAAAAGAAAAAATGGAAGACACTTTAAAAAGTGAAATTGAAGCTTTCTTAATACAGAAGAATAAAAAAGAAAATACCTTCATGCAAATTAAATTGAATGGGATAAATTTAAAAATGCAAATTAGAAATCCTTTTCCACAACAACAATAAACTTGTTCATTCCCCTCATTAAACAAGGAGAGCTTTGCAAGACTTTCAAAGGGAAATCATAAATGCATATACCTTGATTTGGCAGCTTCTGATTTTTTCTCATTTCCTAGCCATAAAAAAGTTTTAAGAGTTGCCATTAATGACATAAAAAAGGTTTCTTTGACATGTTTAAATTCACAGAACCCTTAGTTCTTCCCAAATTTAATAAATGGCTGCTATTATCACTTGAAGTGCCTTGATGGTGATGGAGCTTATTGGAGAAATAAAGCTTATACTTATATTTGCATTCAATTTCATTTTTGCACAAAATTTTTGAACATCTCTATATATATATATATATATATATATATATATATATATATATATATATATATGGTATTCTCCAAAAATGTATACACACTTTAAATAATTATAAAGTTAGTGTTTATTAAAATACATTTCATTTTCAAAATTTAATAGAATCTACATACATTATTTTATTGTTTTGACAATGCCTGTTTTTAAACTGATGTCCATTCTGGTCCAGGCACTGCTGACAATGTCAAGCAATGGAATCACAAACATCACCAAACATTTTGTTGGGTATTTTTGTACATTCTCGTTCAATGGCTGCTCTCAATTCAGCAACTGTCCCAGGTTACATAGTGTAGATTTTGTCTTTTAAGGACCCACATAAAAAAGTCTAGTGGCGTGAGGTCTAATGAATGTGGAGGGTATTTTATGAAACCCCTTTGTTCCATCCACCTATTTGACAAGATCTCATCAAGGTAGAATCTAACATTGTGGCATGACAGACTATTGCAGCAAGTTCAGGTAAATGAGACCAGTCAGAGTAGTGTCAAAAAGAATGGTCCAATTAATCCTCTTGATAATAAGCCACACTACACTGTAACTCCTGATAAATTATGATGTTCCACCATAATATGCAGATTCTCAAGTCCCCAGTAGGTGCAATTGTGGCAGTTAACTGAACCATTTAATTTGAATGTGGCCTCATCACTCCAGACAATCTTTGTTGGAAAGTGTGCATCTTCTACACATCATGCCAAGTACCACCTTACAATACTCCAATCTTTGGTCTGGATTATAGTCATTAATAGCATGGACTAATCTTGGAATACAACTTTTCCATTGAGAGCACTTCAAAATGCATTGGACAGTAAATTTTGAAATGCCTATCTCATGACTTGCTTGCCACACAGATTTTCTTGTAATTTGGTGATAGGTTTCCATTACTCTTTCTTGCTTTGTGGGGCTTGTCGATGTTCTGTGGTCTTCTGGAATGCTTCTCATTAACATTCTGAACAGTTCCTTTGGCTTATCACTAATTTGAGTGATGGTAAGTCGCATTGGTGGATCTGTTGTAACTCCCTCCTAAACTGTCTTTGCACTTCAACTGCATTTTCACACTTCCAGTAGCATTTTAGAATGAATTTTCTTTGTTCAAAGCTAAACTAAGCTTTGAACAAAGGAAATTAAATCTAATGACTGCCATCATTAATTCTAATGTGTTTAACCTGGAAAGAAAAAAAACATTAATTACGCTTATCAGTTGTTAAAATGTTTATACATTTTTGTGACACTATATATATATATATATATATATATATATATATATATATATATATTATAAATTAACTGATTTAAAATATGGTTTCTTCGCTACACAGTAATAACCATGTTTCAAAAACTGAAGCTATAAACTTCAAACTTAATTATATAATTAAATTAAAAGTATTAGTTCTGTTTCATCTTCAAGCGAATTTTGGAATAACTTATTTTTAAATTTACTGAGTTTTAAACGCACATATAAATTCATAATTTCCTGTTTCCAAGGATACAGAGAAATCCAATCATTCAGACAGGGGCGGTAGCATATTCATTTTTATTAACTATTGTTGTATCAATTATGAGTTATGTTTGAAAAAGAGGTTAAGTTTAGGGAGGGTAGGGGTGTATTTTTTCAACGAATTCTGACATCGGTTAAACACATGTTGTCTGTTTTTTTTTTTTAACGGCAAAAAGTTTTTTGGCATTTTTTTCATACTTGTATACTTAAAGATTCTTTCTAAACAGGGTGTTTGAGTTATAATACATTTTATTTAACTACAATTTTAAAATATTGTTATTCTTACTTACTAATAGACTAGTAAATGTGATGAAATTACTTAAATTATTTAAAATTATTTTTTTCTTATCAAATATAAGTATGTATATTACCAGCTCCCATTTTTTAATTTTATTTTTAAATATTATTTAAGGAAAATTTTTGACAATGATGGCAAAGAATAGCTATTTCATTTCTTTTATTCAATAAATTTTTATTTTTTATAAACTTAGTAATATATAGTTTCTCATGTATGCACAAAGGACATGGGTCATTTAATGACATACATATTCTAGCTTTTCTTATTAATTTCCATTTTACTGTAGGTGTTTTATTGGATTCTTTTAAGTGCCAGAAATATTTTGAAAGGGATGTCTGATTTCTGTATTTATTTATCCTAAATGAAATTTGATGTTGATTGAAACTCTTTTTGAACTCATTTCTTGTGCAACCTATATAGATTTTTATGTTTTTGGGATTCTCAATAGATGAGATATTGCATTGGTATACTAATGATTCTGTGTGACATTTATTTTGTAGAGGACAGTTATGAGGATTTCTACAGTTACATAATTTTTGTTTATCTTCATCTCTTTTTATTTTTGTTTTTATATTGTCTAAATTTCTTTGGTTTTGGTCTAAGTGATTATTTAAGATATTAGCATCATGTTTCTTAATAATTTTTTTAAGTTTTCAGTACAGCTGTAACTTAATTTTAGTGTATTTTTATTGAAAATAGTACTTAGTTTACTTTCTCTAGGAAAGTGCTTAACTATTAATGCAAGGAATTTTTGTCCTAATTTGTTCTTTACCATTTAGTTGTATGGGAGTGTATACCAAATTATTTTTTTACTTCTGTTTTTTCTATGCTTTCCATTTTCCTTTTTTATATACGTTAGTTTTGGGTTTTTGTAGCCACTATCTTTTAGCGCTTTATTATAAAAAATCTTCTCATTTGCTGAATTTGTACTTATTCTTTTTCCGTAGATAAAGGTATATGCTTAATTATAGATGGAGGATGATTTTATTTAGGGTGTATATATAAAGGATTGGCATTGGGTTTATATAAGGTATGTATACATTTTTCATTAAATCTAATATTATATCAAAGAAGTTAACTTTTTTTAATTTAGTGCTTATCGTAATTTTTAAGTTCAGGCTTTTAAATTCTTTATATAATATCTTTCTAGTTTTATCGATTTTAAAGTTAGTAGAGTTCTTTATAACCATAAGTCCATCATCTCTGAATAAACTAATGTCAGTTATATTAATTTCACAGTACATTGTGAGATTGTATAATATAAAAAGACCTATAAGATCAGAAGAATCAACTGAATCTAGTGATCCCATTGTGATGTCAAAATGGTCATATGAATTTTTTATCCATTGCTCACCTCTATGTATCAGTACCGATTTTTTTGCATTTACACTAATGCTCTTTTCTTCTTCAGTAATATCCGTGTACTGGGTAGCAAAGTCCAACGCATTCATGAACAGTTCTTTAGATATTGATTGATAATAATTTTCAATATCAAACTGCATTAGTGTACAGTTCGTTTTCTCCTTTATATCAGAAAACTAGTTAGTCATGTCTTTGGTATTAATCCAGTTTCAGGCCTATTTTTTCTTTAATTTGTTGATTTAACAATTCAAGGATCTTTTTACTAATTTTTCCAATCTCAGATCTTGTTGGGTTTATTATCCTTGTAGTCAGATTAGCCTTGAAATCTGGTTTGTTGTCCTTTAAGGTTATATAGCACTCTCTTTCATTTAGTTGACCTACTCTATCACTAATCTTCAGTTTGTCTGTGATATTTTACTGCTAGTATTAATATTCTCCACCATGTTGAGGTAATTATTATTTTTTTTTTTATAGTTCTTATGTAAATCCTTATTAATTAGATTGTTGTAGTCCCATGTCATTATTTTATAGAAGTTTCCTGTTTTGTCAGATTTCACTAAAATTTTATCCATTGTGTCTTTTACTATTTTAGCCAGGCATTTTTAGAAGTAGCATTTCTTTTCATGGAAATTTATGTTATTTATTATTTCCAATAGGTCACTTTCAAAACCAGACAGACTATGAATAAACAGTGCTGAATTTTTACTGTTAAAACCGTAAACATCATTATTGTTTTTGTTTTGTAAGTCATTCCGTTGAAAGAAGAAGTAAGCTTTCCATCTCATCCTTTGTATGAGTTCCTCTGTTTTTTGCATTAATATAACAAAATAATCCTTTTTGTTGGTATTAGGAATGTGTGTGTGTGTGTGTGTGTGCATGTATAATTTTTATATATAGGTTTTTTATAACATAGGTCCTTTTCTGGCTCACTCTTACTTAAAGAAAATAATACTAAATAGATAGATAAATATTTTGATTACAAGCTTTTTTCAAGTTCTATATTTTCCTTAATATCTAAGTAATATTATCATGAATTCTACTTTAAATTATATCTATTCATGATTTTCTTTGGATATATTTGCTTTATTCTTATCAACATAACTTTTTCCTATTTTACTATATCAAATCACCATCTTAACATTTTTACATTGACCTATGTACAAATCTTTATTTTTTAATTTTATTAACTCTTAATTTTTTTCAAGTAGCAAGGTTGCCAAGGTAACAACCGTTTTCTTATATTTTTTTCACTTGTTCTGGGAATACTTTTACAGAGTGAAACACTGACAACAGAATAAAAATATTTTAAACATCCAACTGGTTTTCACAAATTCTATCTTACATATCTTGTTCATAAATCATCTCATCACACACACACACACACATACATATATATATGTATATATATGTGTAAAATGTATATATATATATATATATATATATATATATATATATATGAAATTTTTATGAAATTTTTATGAATTTTTTATATATATTATTTATATATTATATATGCATGGTACTTATTGGAGAGAACTCAATATCAGTGATAGAGCTAACATATTTAGTTGGATTGATGTGAGATTGTGACCCTGGGTTTCACGCTATCTGTGATTGTCAGACAAACTGATTCATTTTTAAATTTTGGATTTATATATGGTTGCATATATTTTATGGTAGTGGGAGAAAAAATTGTTGTCAGAATGCCATTCATACTTACACAAACATACCTACCATCATGTTCACTTATTGACATACACAGACATACATGCATGCATGCTCACTCAAGTGAGCATGCGTGTATGTGTCTGCAACAAATTCAACCATTTAAATTTGAATTCTCTGATTTGACGGAATTCCATTGGCTGAATTTGTTTCTTCTTTGTTTATCTAACCTTCCTCCTCTTTTTGTCTTAAACTGAAATGCATTGATATATAGACTGTAGACACTTTCTTATCTCTTTTGTTCTCAACTTTCTTCTTACAAATAGAAGAATGCTAAATACTTGTTTCAACCTTTATTTCCTTTTCTTGGCCTTTTTCCTTTTCTTTCTCTTCCCTCTTTCGCTGTTATTAATCATTTAATAATCATATATAATCATATGTAAATCCTTTTTACTTTTTATGTAAAATTTTCCAAAGATGGAAGTGGAAGATGTGCTTCATTAACTGTATTTCAGAATAAAATGATTTAGTAGCATTGTGATTTCCCATGTGAAGAAACATTACTTCTTAACGTTGAAACAAGATGCATAGTTTTGTAGTGGGTATGTAATAGTGCATAATAAATAAATATTTATTATTCTACCTTTATAATGAGTCCTGTTTTTAAATTTATATTTTGAACGCAGAAATTTTACTTTTTCCTGTTTTTTACATTTGGTTATATATATATATATATATATATATATATATATATATATATATAAGAGGCACGGTGGAGTAATGGATAGCAGCTTGGATTGAGGAATCAGAGAGCCTAGTTTGAATTCCAGTCAAATCCATTACATTCACTTACGTACTAATACCCTTGGGAAAGGTATGAATCCTCTTCTTCTCCCCCAGCTATGGGTAAATAGCAGGACAGACTGGGTTCTATAGACTTGGATGGCAGGTGGTCTAGAAGAAGAACAACTCTGAATTCAAAACCTGCGGAGGGTCATTTGGGGACCTTGTGACACGTAGTACACCAGGTCTCTGTATTCATCCCTTCAAAAAATGTGGATAGTCCTGCATGAAACCTTCACCACTATAATCAAATCTCATGTGCTGTTGGCGGTCTGTCGGTTTCCTGGGAACTGATCTGCTTGACCCTCATACGTCGAATTCGATGGGAGAGTCAAGTATAGCAGAAGCAGAAGAACTGTACAGAAATTCCTTTTATAGCAACAATTTAATAACACTGTTTCTTGTCATAACTTCTCAATCTCAATAAAATGAGAGAATAGGGCCATCTTGGTGGGAAATAGACAACTCAGTGAAAATGATATTGTTATTTTTATTTCAATAAAAACTTGATTATCAAAAAGTAATCAAAACTTTGATGAAAAAGATAATTTGAAGTGCTGATCTAAGACACGTAGAATAAAACTGTCTTCTGCATCATGATTTCAATGAAGTCATCTATTCTCACAATTTCTTATTTTGTCTTCCATATCCCAGTCACATATTCTTTCTGTCATGCTTATCTAATATTTATAATTAATAATAATGATTATTAATTATTATTAATTATTTTTGTCATGTTGAGTGAAATATAAGCTCCTTTGTATTAAAAATTCTGATGAACAAAAACAGAAGAATTTTCATTGTTTCATTGTGGTTTTCATACATATCTGTTTATAAAAACTTTTTTCAGAACACATCAGTTATTTGATTTCTGTGATTAAAACATTAATGAGTATTTATGTGGAAAACAATCCTGTTTTAATTTCAAGCTTTAAGTTTGCATTTAGATTATAAAATACTTTTCTTGTTTATTTATACAATTATTTCAATTTATTTTTTGATAACATTTTTCTTTTCTATGAAAGATTTTCTAAAATTTATTGTTTAAGAAATGTAAGATGTGCATAAAGTCCAACAAAATTTAATATTGATATCAAATTCTATTAACACAAAGAAGCACAAATAATCATGTTGATAGATAACTGTTATTTATTTTTATTTTGCAGCTATTTCAATTACACAAATTTTCACAAGTCCAAGAGGTCGTCTGATTTCTCTAAAAAAAAAAAAAAAAAAAAAAAAAAAAAAAAAAGAAAAAATTTTCCTGTGCCTAATTTATTTTCCTGAACAAAACAAATATCTTCTATGATATAACATAAATAAATGAAATTTAATTGCTTTCACTTATATGTAAATACCCTTGGGAAAGCTTTGAATCCATCCTTGTTCCCCACATCCATGGATTAAACAGTAAGACTACCTAAGTTTTTGATGTTATCTGAGTGTCGAAATTCCAAACATTTAACAGCAACAACAACACATCTTTTAAATGAAACATAAAAGAGCTTATTTCTGAAGGAAAAGTAGCAGAATATCAATTGAAATAACATTTATATATTCTTTTCAGAAATATACAATAGCAATAAATTTGTCAATTTTCCTTACAGTAAAATGTGTTTTATCAAGTAATTAAGTGTTTGTAGACAAGTGTGAGATGTGTGGACAGACTTATTTTATGACAGTCAGCCTAATGTGTCTGTCAGTGTGTAGACAAGTCTATATGCTCTTATTCTCTGATATTGTGTGCACGTGTGTGGGTGTGTGTGAACACATGTGTAGATCAAATTGATCTCCAAAATTGTTCTGAACCCTGAGAATACTTCTATTTTTATATCCATACAAGGGATCCAGAATTTAATTTCACATCGATGTGAAATTAAATTTTGGATCATTTGTATGTGTATAAAAATAGAAGCATACTGCATCTCAGGATTCAAAACAATTTCAGAGCTCAATTTGTGAATTGGTTAGAAAATAATTTCACACTAGCTCAGGAAAATCTTTTTTTTGAATTTGCTGGAGTGGTGGAGAGATTTATTGTTATTTTCTAAATGGTTCAAAAATGAAACGTGGTAGATCTACAACTACACCGCCAAGTATGTTGGCAGTATTTGCCTTAGTAATTATTGTTTATCAGACCTTCTGATGAGATTTTATTGATTGAAAAATATATATAAACTTTAATTCCTATGGACTTTTATCTGGAAAAATCAATGTTATCTCTAAAAATTATTCCATATAAAATATGTTTCTGCTTTAAATACCCCACAAAGCCATAAAAAACAAAATCAATTCATAAATACTATTGCTTTTTGAATCATTTGAAAGAAAAGTTTTCTGGCTCATACCTACTTTTGTGTCATCCTTTACCAACACATCAACTGAATACATTGATCTCCTCTGATGTCCATGGTCCTTTGTTGAAGGGTCATTACATTATCCATCTAACACTATGCTGATTATTTCCAAACATCCCATAAACAAGGTTGCAAGTGGTCAACTTTCAACTTATTTTTTGATATTTTGCACTAATAATTTGGCAGTAATTTTGCTTAATGAAATTGTCTTCCACCATTTGATGCAATAGGTAATTGTAAATTATATGAAAATAGTAAGTACAAAGACCACACAAAGATGAACAAGATTTAAGGTTCTCCTTCCAAGTAAACAAAGAGCAACAAAATATTTCTGTCACAATCAAAAACACAAGGCAATTTCATTAAACAAAATTACATCCAATTATTAGTAAAAATGTTGGAAAAATAAGTTGAAAGTTGACTGCTTGCAATCATGAATGTTTATGAGATGTTTGGGAACAAGCCACAAGTCCAGTATGAAACTTAACATTTAATGTAAACGAGACAGCAAAGGAAATAGATGACAACACTCAAAGTTCACAAAAATTAGAAAGACAAACTTTATTTACAATAAAAGCCACAAAAAGAATAACAGATGAAATTAACACTAATAATGTTTTTTAGGGCTATGAGAATTTTTGCAGCTATTTACAATGAAAAACATAAAAAAAGTGGTTTTGTACTTACATTAAAAGCAGTGGAAAAGTAAAGAAAAGGATAACTCATATATTTTCACCTTATTCTTAAATTAAAATGTTTATAACAGTTTTAAATGATCAATAGGGGTCTTAATAACGGGTTATAAAGGCTTACTAAAAATTGCATTCTTCATGAAAGCACCACCGCTTTGATTTCTGTCATTAGGACATCCACCCTATTTGACATATCAGTGAGTTGAAGGAGGAAGGAATGATGACATCACCCCATTTCTACTTATTAAGCATGCTTCAAAGCCTGCTGTTGAAACTCTGCTGACAAACAGTCTAAAACTGCCGAAAAAGCATGAATTCATCCTCATATGCATCTCTAAGGTGTGGCTAAGCCCAGATGAGTCATGAGAAGACCATACATAGGCAAAGTTAACAAATAAGATACCTTTTCTTTCTTTTTCCAGCCAAAGCATACTTTTTTTAAAAAAATGAGACAGTAATTAAAAAGTCTTCTAGATTTTGACACTTGTATACTTTATTTTTTAATTTTAAAATAAAATACAGTGTGTCAATAAAAAAAATTTCCATAGGTAAATATGAAAAAAATGTTTATTTTTATTATTTTAATTTTAATTTCTAACTGGCACTGTAAATGGTAGCAACGTATTTCAAATATTGCTGCACTATTGCATGGTATATTGCATCGTATGTTGCAAAATGATTCCAGATTACTCTTTGAAGGAGGTATCCACCATCAACAACTTGAATACTTATTTCAGCATCTTGAGGAGTTAAAGAGTGTCTGGTTTGAAGAATTGCCTGAAAACTCACCACTAGACTCAGGAAAACTACATTGTGCTGTGTCATTTGCTTCATTTGTATTGTGTTCATTGTTGCTCACATGAGAAGACCGTATCTTCATTTCCTGATGCTTGACATTTTGTGTGATCAGTGCTTTCACAAGAGATGACTTATTTTCCTTTCACATCCTGTTACTATTGAACAAAACCATGGAGAATAGTGCTAGCTTTTATCTGAAGCAATCTGCAATGTTATTCTGTCTGTTTAAAAGCACAGGTAACCTTAAAAACAAAACTGTTGAGTCAATTACAACTTTTTGCTTACATTTGATATTTTCAAGGTATTTACTTGACTTGATCTTTTGATTGTAGCTTCACTAAAATGTACCCTATCATGACTTTACTGGATGTTAATCCCCACTTGTTCTGAATTGTCACAGATGGTATTTTTATCTGCAATTAATCCTATATCCATATTTAGGGATGAGATCAATTTCGGCCAAATGGTTCATGATTTCTGAGCCAATTAATCGATTTCTGGAAGGTCTCAAAAGTCCTACTTTACTCTGCTTTTTTTCCATTTCCTCATTTTGTTCACTTGAACAATGCTGAACCTTTGTCAAGGTATGTATTACATTGTGATATTCTGCACAATCATGCATACTCTTCTTTGAGTAACTCCTTCTCTGCCTTTAATAGACTTCATCAAAACATGTTCCATAGTACTGCCCAGAACATTTCACTTCTTCATACAACAAAAAAATTTTTAAATGGCCATGTATCATACAGCAACAAATTGCAGAGAAAAAACCTAAAAAATTGAAAAAATCGTGTTTTTATAATCTCGTCTATAAATTATCGCAAGTCTGAAGCAAATTACATCAGTAGAAATTTTTAAACCATTTAACATTTAAAAATTTATACTGATGTAATTTACTTGAAATTTTGCCAACAGAAGCATTCATTTTTATAAAGACTAGTCCATGAAAGTAGGTTGCTATTAAGAAAAAAATAAAATTTCCTTAGTAATTAAATTCCAAGAAATTTCATTGTATAAAAAACATTTTTCTCTCTATCTCATTGAAATTCTTTTTATTAAACTTGTAGCTAAAGTATTGGTGGAAACCATTAAAATGGAAAAAAACAGACTTTCAGCTTTGTTACCATGGCAACTATAACACTTTTAAATCACACCTGGGTGTTTCTATTAGGAAACAATTGAATTCTAAAATTTGAAACCTAGATTAAGTAAATAAAACAATAAATCATAGAATCATGGGCAAAAAACCTAAAATATTGGAGAAATGTTTAATAATCTCATCTATAGATTATTGTAATTATTTAAAAATTCCCAGAGGCAATGAATGAGAACTTTTGGATTCTGAAAAAGGTTACTATTGGGACTATATCCACATCAAAGAATCATTGTCAAAGTTTACTTCACAGTTCATCCCTTTTTTGATCTCTTTTGGTTGCACAAATTTTTTCATATCTGCTAATGTGTATCTTGTTTGCTGCTTGAACAAATTATTGCCACATTCAGGTTCTGTAAATATGTAGATGAGAGGAGGCACAGTGGAGTAATGGATAGTGGCTCGGATTGAGGAATCAGAGGGCTGAGTTGGAATTCCAGTCAAATACATTACATTCACTTACGTGCTAATACCTTTGGGAAAGGTATGAATCCTCTTCATCTCCCTCCACCTGCTCAGCTATGAGTAAATAGCAGGACAGACTGGACTGCCTTGTATGGCAACTGGTCTACCACAGAAAGAAATGGCAACCAACTGTGGGAAAAAATTTGTCTCGTCAGTCATGTATCAAAAGATACATGATTGCCTAAACCATGTATCATGCATGGTACATAAGTGACTGAAATATGTAGATAAAGTGTTTTCTCGCAAATTTATACACAAGTACTTGTTACCCATACCATATTGTAGTTATGGTAATGCTTATGTTGGAATGATAAGGCAAATTTATTTCTGCCAAACATTCCAATTCCAATATACATTTAGTATAGATTAAATTTAAAAGAGATTTATATTTTTTTTCAGTTCATACAACTCAGCAAATAGAAAGTACAAGAGGTAAGAGAACCGTTGAAAAGACAACTTTTTCTGTTAATGGATATAGATATGTCATATTATTGACAGTTACTTTTTGGATAAATCTACTTATTTTTGTTTCTTTTTTTAAACAGTTTTTTTTTATTTTAATGAAAATTACAGTTGTGTTTCTGATAGTGCAGGGCAATTTCAAATATGTTTGTAAGCTAACTTGCTTACCTCTGAAATATCTGAGGACATATTTTCATACTTTGTGTGCCAAAATTTTTTAGGTGGAATCACACAAGAGTTTAGAATGCATGAGTACTAGTTATTTTATCCATGACTATTAGTTATTTTGTTGGAGGTAACATAATAATAGACAAATATATTTCATAATATTTGTGCACAAGATAATATGAATATACTTTAGGTTCTTGAATGAAATAGAGTTTCTTCAATCTTCAAATTTAATCTGTTAATGATTTCCATATTGGGTTGCTTTCAATAATATGTGGATATGAAAAAAATCATAAGATTGAGCAATTTTTGTTTTTTTCACATCACTCTATTAAGTATTCTATTTTTACTTAACAGTTTCAACAACTCCATCAACAAGCATGCATGGTATGTATTTAACATTGATAAAATATATATATATATATATATATACACATTTATAAATATATTATATATGTATATATATATACTTATATATAAAAATACTATCAAACCTTTATAAAAATAGATTTAGAAGATAAAGTTTCTGGAGCCTGAAGGAAAAGAAAAACAGCTTTTAATTTAAATTTAAGGATACTACATTTTTAACAAATTGTTTATGTGTTAACTTGAAATCAATGTGTTATCTTATTTGTGATTTTGTTGGCCTGAACAAATTTCAGTTTGATTTGGCAAAAGAATCAATGCACTATTTTTAATTTTTTTAATAAAAGAGATTCAATTCCATGTTTAGGCTATTACATGCCCTTTTCATCCAAATAATCTATTGAAATAATATAATTTATTTTCTTTCAAATTTAGTGACTGTCTCATACAAATAGGGTATATGTTTACAGTATGCAATACAAGTATTTTATTTGGAAATTCATTTGTATTTCCATATAAAATTTTAAAGTATACAAGCAATTTCATCATACTGGGTCATATATGAAATAATAAGCATTCTGATCTCAACCCCAAGATAAATATTGTTTAATAACATCAAAGAATTAACCTTTGTTTTATAAAACAAATTCATTTTTCTGTTCTTGCCTTGTACATTAAATATAAAAATGGAAGTTCAGCAAAAAACTGTACTATCGTGATTTTATTTTACAGAGAAAGCTCTCCAGTGAGAATACAAATTATTTGATATATATTCTAATTTAACTTTTATTTGCAAACAAGTATATTTTACAATTCTTGATTGAAGTTTATTATTACTGAATTATTTTATTATATACAGACTCTGTAATCATACAACTTGTGGGAAGTAATGATGGTTCAGCTGGTCGTGTTGAGATCTTCTATCAAGAACAGTGGGGCACAGTATGTGATGACCAATGGGATAATAATGATGCTCGTGTCATTTGTCGTATGTTGGGATTCAGGTAATATCATTATCCTACAAAATGATTTTTATTATTGAATTCTAAATAAATATAATTTTGTTTTATATTAAACCATATTATTTTATTGTTAAATAAATAAAAACATAGCCAAACACCAAAATAAACTACTAACTATAAGAATGAAAAGTCAGTCACTACTAATGTGACAGGACCATGGACACAGCCTAGCAACAACACGCATGTATAATGAATATGTTTGTAAAAAGAAAGTTATAGGTGAAGATGCAAAGAAAATTTTAATAAATGAAACTAAATAAAAATAATAATGATGAAACAAAAATTTCACCATCTCTAAAAATAGGTGTATATTCAGAAGTACTAGGCTATAAAATCATATTTTGACCAACCTATCAGAAGCTGTCTTGACCAGGATACCAACATCTTAGTCTAGCAAGTGGATCAGAAACAAGAACTTATATAAACCAAGATATAAGGCCACTCATCATGAGTGAATGATAAAGAAAGTGGCAATTTCAAAGTAGATATCTAGATATCTATATAACATGATGAAAAATCATATACAATGAGATGAAAAATCAACAAAAACCAGAATTGATGAATTAATTTTCTCCATTTTCTGCTGCTGTGATCATTATAACATACCCAGGGCCAATATACAGCATTTACGCAACTAGCTGACAACTTTAGACAGTTTCAACGTCTGTTACATTTGAAAACATACATACCTTCTTCACCCACATTGTTAAGCAGGCATCTACTACATTTGGATACATACATATGTATACACAGATATTTACTTCTTCCTGATCTCTCTCTCTCTCTCTCTCTCTCTCTCTCTCTCTCTTTCACTCTGTGCCAGGACATTTGTGCTTGAACTCTCAAAATTTCAACTTTCATTGTCTCCTTTTGTATAATTATATTGTGTTATATAAAGATTTATTTTGTATTTTTATTTTGTATTTTTCAAAATTCTGTGCATTTTCTTTTAATAATTGCACAAGGCCAATATATACCCAATATAAATATAGCAAATATATTGTGAGAATGGACACTGTCATAAGATAACCTTTCAGAAATTCTCCATAAAATAAAAGAATATTTTGTATCTGTTATTATTAACAAATTATACCCCCCCCAAAAAAAATCACTTTGTTTAGTTTTTGGAAGGCATCTTTTGCTATTCCAACATCTCTTTGGATTTCAGTGATACACATTTGCCATCCTCTCTTAAAACACTTGTTTCTTATTCATTTCTTTTGTTGATACCAAGTAACTCTTAACTAATATTTAAACTTCTGTATTTGTTTAATATTAAGAAAGTAGAAAAGAATTCATTATCAAATTTCTACTGGTATGAACTCCCTTTCCTTTAATACTTCTCAGTTATAAGCCACAGGTCGCAAGTAGATAATGCAACAGACTAATAGGAACTACAAAATTACACTGAATACGACACATTATGATGACAAAAATAATGAGTAACAAAACTGAACTACATATCTGATAACACAATATGGGACAATTCAGTGACTGTTATAGAGACATTACATTTTGGGACCTAAAAAGTTAATGATCTAAAAATTATTCAAACACTTTTAAAATCAAATTTTTCCCTGTGTTCTGCAAGTCACTCAAGGTCCATAAGTTGACCCCAAATATTTATTTTATGTAATTAATGTAGAACTTTGTTAAATTCTTTTTAATTTCTTTTCCAGCAAAGACACCTTATCTAAAAGCAAGGATATTTCATTCAAAAAGGATAATCATACAAAATTAATACAAGTGTAGGATGAATGTTCCTGATGTAATGGAATAACCTGTCAACCCCATGAGTAGCTACACTATAGGTAGTAATTGCCTATAAGTAGCAGTAAGGCAATGGGCTACAGAGTCTAGCTGGGATCTGTTGAGTATGACTCAGACTTACGTGAGAACTACCGACCTTCCAATAGTAGCACTCACTACTGGATTCTCTTGCAATGGCCGTGCATATAACTATTATCTTATTTCTTATTGTACTGGTTATTGCAATAAACCTTTACTTATTTTATCCACTGTATTTGTCAAGTATATATTCCTATTAGCACAGAATATAACAGTTCCTTAAAACAAAAACATTGTCTTTGGTTTACATTGAGTATATTATGCCTACAAAGAAGTAATTCTTAACTTCTTTTTTCATTTATCAGCAGTAATAATTGGTATCAACAAAAGAAATGAATAAGAAACAAAGTGATTTTTGGTATATCTTCATAGACACACACACATGCACATAAACATGTAGATATCACATAAAATATTTAGTAGAATATTCTGTTGAAATAAAATTTGAATGTAAAATACGAGAGAATATGAAAGTGAAAATACATATCTCAGTATCTGGTGGCAGTATCATACAAAGATTTTTGTGATTTGTCAATTGCTTTTTGGCTCTTTGTTTAGCAATAATTGCATTTATGTGCATGTAGGAATTGGCAACATTGCATTACAAAAGTCTTTGGATGGCTCTTTTAGTAAAACATGAATTAATTTATAGTTCTATACATTTTGGTATGCTCTGCTCTGACTGGCTATATTAAAATATTTTGTTAAAATTCTCCTTGACTTGTGTTTCTTTTTAAATAATTTTTTAAAACATTTTAACAATATTGTTTTGATCTCGCTATCCTTATAGCTCTATCAGGGTTCTGATTTACCTTTCTACTACTAATTTAAGTAGATCAAATTTACTTTTAAACTGATTTTCAGTTTCATATTTTACTGATTTTATTAACACTAGTGATATGCTCATTGCATGAAAGTGAGATGCAGCATTTTTTTAAATTATAAAACGGATATTTTAAACTACAAAATATAACAAAATATTGAAAAAAATTAAGCTTCTCAGAAAGGAAAACTTAAAGCTATAAATATTTTTATCATAAAATTTCATCATAGCTCAGACAAAATACCTTTTTTTATTTTTTCAGTGATGGTACTAGCACTGTGGGTGGAAGTTATGGACCTGGTAATGGCAGTATTTGGTTGGATGAGGTGAAGTGCTCAGGAAATGAACAATCTATCACAGAATGTACTTCAAGCCCTTGGGGTAGTACTGACTGCAAACACAGTGAAGATGCTGGAGTCAAATGTGGTATGTTGAAAATAAATACAGCAAAATGTTAGGGAGATAATGTAGTTTGGAAACAAAGTCTGCATGAGTCCATATCATTTTTAATAAAACAGTTTAGAATTAACTTAAAATCAATTACTTTTACTTCCAAAACAAACTGAAGAATTTGTAAATCATTTCTAAGATTTGGTTAAATTTCAGATTTTACAATCAATATATAAAGAAATGAGTGAAGGATTGCATCTTCCACAAAACTAGATATTTTTAAAATGAAATATTATTATTTGAAATATGTGCATTTAATAAATGCAGTAAACGGAAATTTTACATTTTACAGAAAATCTGGCTTATCAGAGAATAGAATTACAACTATTTTCTTAACTTGGAAACTATATGATTATATTGTATGAACAAAGCATTTCAGGGATGATTTAAAGTTGCATTCACTATTTATTTGAAGAAATTCATGTAACTTGACAAAATTCTTGCCAAGAGGCAGTAATTATAAATTATTTTGAACTGATGAAATACTTAGCCGTGATGAAAAGCAACTTTATAGTGACAAACGTGTGTTGTCTAAATAAAATTCAGTATATCAAGACTTAATCTCTTAGTTCTTGATTGAAATGTCTCGATAAATTTTTAAAATATTTGCTACAATATAACTTTCAACTATTTCAGGAATAACTTCAGCAACACCAAGTAACCCCCTATGTAAGTGTTTTTATTATAAAATCTTTTTTTATAAATGTAATTATTTCCAATCAGTAATAAATAATTGTCGTCTATAGATTTATCAGCATTTTTTAAATTTTTATCCACATCTTATTTTTTAATCCAGGGCACGTTTTCTAATCAGTTACAAGAATGTTTGTTTGCTGTAAGGAATGTTTTAAGCTGCCTTTGAAATCTCCCAACCAAACCATTGGTACAAGGATGATATTCTGTGGTTCTTATATGTTTCGTAAATTCGTCGAAGAATTTTGATTGGAATTGCGTTCCTTGGCCCGTTGTGGTTATAACGCAAAATAGCTATCCTTTCCTGTAAGATACGTTTAGCTATAGAGTTTGAAGATAGGTTCTTCGGTGGTACAACAACAGGCTATTTTGTGAATCTATCAAGAACTGTCAATAGATAAGAATGGCCATTTGCTTTTGCTAATGGCCCTATCAATATGTAGGTTTGTGAACCTACCATCTTCATATGTCTGGTAATTTTGCTCTTTTGACAGTTTAAACATGTCTGAGTTCCTGGATGTGAGAGATTGTGGTAAATATTAAAAATCATACGTCTCAGTGAAGGCAGAGCATATGGTCTTGAGTAAACCATATTCACATCAAACAACAGCAATTTTGTGTCAAAAGGTACAAGGAGCTCTATCAGTTTCTTCTCTTACTTTGTCTAATGTGTCATGTTTGTGTTCATCTGTGATGAAGTCGAAATTTCAGAATTCACAGAATGTATTGTAGAGTGCCACAATATTATCTGGGCATTTTAATGTAATGGATGTCTATAGTCCAGTTGGCGGACATCTCTAGCCATACATTTGTCAGACTTCTACGTGAGGGATATTTATGGTATGTGAAAATAGTGAAGTTTCGGCCTTCGAGCAAATGTCTAAAATTTATTATAGACAAATACCTAGCATCTGTGGCATAACAACCCTATTCCGTTATTATTAATTTTAATGACTATCTACGCCTAAAATTTTAGTTGCTTTTCATCATCACCATGCAGACCCTGAATTTTAGCTCATCAACATAAACGAGTGTTCTCTCAGGTAGGGCCCCGTACCTTGATCACCTATCGGTGCTTATGATCAACCCAGGCCTCAAGTGGAACTCATACATACGAACAATCGCTAAAAAATGCTGGCAAAATAATCGGTTCTCTGTAGCTCTCCAGTAAGTACATGACTCCTCCTGCTATTCTCTAACTTTACAAGAGCCAGATCAGGCCGAAAACAGTGTGCCATATATGGGCTGGAGCTGCCCAATCTTCATTCTCCAGTCTTGATACAACAAAAAAAGAGTTTTTGTGTCTTGGTGGGTGATGAATTATTTTCCACCTTACAACCACTTTCCTATAGATGAAACGCTGCAAGCCTCTCACTGTTCTGTATCGCTATTTTTATGGAAAGTGCTCAGACGAACTACATTCCTTAGTTCCACCAGTTCTAACCTTCACGACTAAGACTCGCCAAGCCACGTCCATTGTAGCAAACCACCCTCATTCTCTTCATATTCCTTTGGTGAGATGTAAATTCCACTCGAGCAGCTTCTTCCCACGAACCGCTTCTTTGTGGAACTGACTCCCGAGATTATGCTTCCCCGATCCCTACAATCTTAATCTGTTCAAGTCCAGGTTAAAAGGCATCTGCAATATTTTTGTTGGGCGTTCTTCAGTTTTACAGAGAAAAAGGAAATCGGTTTGCTTGAGTAATCTTTCTCTTGATGTAAAACTAATCCAATAGCATTTGAAGAATCGTTGGTCGTTAACATTAGTGTTAACTAACATATGAAAATTCTGTGAGGTCCGTTAATACCTTTTTGCGTCATGAAAAGCAGTTAAGACATCGCCTTTAAGGGTTATCTTTGCATTTTTTTTCTTTCTGTTTTTGAAGCAGATTTGTTAGTAGTGTCAGAACTTGGACACAACCCGAAATTAAAAAAATCTTCCGTAGTAGTTACTTAGACCGATGCATCTTCGGAGTTGCTGGAACCATGTAGGTTACGGGAATTGTTGCACCTTGCGACTTTTTCTTGAACAGGTGTAATACCATGTTCATCAATAACATGATCCAAGAAAGTTAGTTCTGAAAGTGCAAAGTCGCATTTGTTCATATTAATTATTCGAACGCTTATCTTAAATGTTGATAATGCTCTTCTTGGCTAGCGATGAGAACATCATCTACATAGGCGGAAGCAAAAGGTCTCTGAAAAGTTTGTGCAGCATTACATAACCCGAACAGCATTCTCCTGAATTCATAAAGACCGAACGGGGTAGTAATCGCTGTTTTTCTATATCTTCTACTGCTACTGGAATTTGGTAGTATGCTTTAACCAAATCCGGTTTTGTGAATACTTTTGTCCTTTGCAAATCCATGATGTAATTGTGTATGTAGGGGATTGGATATTTATCTGGAACAGTTTTTTTGGCGTTAAGATTCCGGAAATACCCACAAGGTTGCCAAGCTCCAGTATCTGGTTTGGAACCATATATAGTGGAGAAGAATACCGGCTTTGTGAAGGACGTATGATGCTTAGTTTCAGCATATGCTGAAACTCGTCCTTTGCTATTTTATATTTTTCCTGGCGGTATCTGCGCGGTGATGAATGGGTTGGCAGTACATTTGTTTTTATATAATGTCTTGAGAATTGATGAATGTCATTAGTGTCATTAAGTGGTGTTAGTGTGGAATTTTTCTGTCAACTCCAATAATGCAGTATCTTTTTGTGTAGCAGAACTAATTCCTGTTGAGGTTTACAGAGAAATGGTTCCCTTTGTTGTCGTCTGTGTATCGTTGTCAATGAAAGGATAGGATAAAAAATCTGCACCAAGAATAGGATTTGTTCTATTTCGGCTTGCGTAAAGATTCAGGGAAAAGAACGCTGCAAACCCAGATTTAATGTTAGGTATTGTTATTCCGGATGTAGAATAAGCGTCTTTTGTGGTGCTTCCCAATTGCTAAAGTCGTCTTTAATTGCTGCAGGAGTACGGGTTTCCCTGCTTCTGTGATGTGCTGGGATTTCTCCTATAGAACTCCAGCATTCTACGCATTTATATTGATAGGTACCCCGGGAAAAAAATTCGACTGGTTCCTGCTTCTATGTGGAGACTTTGATCGCTTCCCGATATCCGTTCGGGAACCAGGGAAATTCTGATTATTTTGTCTTCTCATTATGTTTTTGAGTTGTATTGTTAACACCTCCATATTGTTTTCAATGCATAACATTCTGTTAGAACATATGCCCGTTGGTGTACTGTCTGATGTAGAGTACACACCTTTTTGTGGGTCGCTATCGTATATTCTATCGGCGATTTCTGCTACTTGTTCTAAGTCCATCTCTTCAGGTAGAGAGGCAAGTTTCCTTGTTATATATGTGTGTATGTGAGGTTTATCGCTCCCCAACTGCTGAAGGGCCGTGTTACCAATGGAGTTTATTCCTAGAAGAGCTTGCTTTCATTTTTCAGAATAGCTCTGAAGGTTTCACTGTTAAACAAGTCGTGTAGAAATCGATCACCTCTGTTGTAACGTCGTCGTTGAAGATTATCTACCAAGTATATTGTGATAGAAGTTTGTTTTTCTTTGTCGTGGTTACTATTTATAAGAAATTCTGTTGTCCGAATTTTTAATTAAAAAAAAAAACCCAAAACGGACAACAGAATTTCTTACAGCAGATCATTTTTATAAACAACAGAAAACTTAAGCGACAACGATATTGTATTTTGCAGCAAGTTGTTTATAGATTTCTTAGATGTCTTTGTTTTGGTACGTGTATCTTTATGCGACATGCCATTGGGATAAAGATGATTGTTGTAAGGAAGCGATGTTTAATAATGGAGATGGTGTATTGGCAATTTTATACTGAAAAATGATATATCGCAAACTACTCCACCCGCCAATATAATTCAGAATCAATGCAACAATCTATAATAGTTCATGTTTTTACAATGCATCTACTTTTTAGAGTAATCATCATCATCATCATCATCATCATCATCATCATCATCCCCTTAACTTTTGTAATCGTAAGGGGGTATCTGAATGCAGAAGCCACACTAAATCTCCTCCACAACGGTCTATCAACGGCAACCATCAACAATTCCGGTATAGTCATACTTCATACATGTCCAGTTTAAATTAATAGAGAATGCTTATAATTAAAACTAAAATGTGCCGAGTAAATCCTTTTCGTAAAAATTTACAAAGTATAGGCAAATTTAATCATGAGTATTATTATTATAGTAAATTTGATAAAATAGAATTTTAAATTTGTTAACTTTCAGAATGAATGAAATCTAATCTAAATTGAGTGTATTTGAAGAAAAATATTTTATTTTAATTTACTGATGAAAATAACAGTAAAAATAAATAAATATCTCTAGTCTAATTTGTATGCAAAATTGTTTTCCACTGAAATTTTTTTTTATTTTGCTAGTAGCGATCCGCTTAGTTGGAGGAAATACAACATCAAGTGGGCGTGTTGAGATCAACTACAATAATAAATGGGGTACTGTATGTCATGACAAATGGGATGATAATGACGCTCGTGTTGTCTGCCATATGCTGGGATATAGGTAAGTTTAAATTACCATCTTGTGAGTTTTATCTGGAGCATCATCACAATCCAAATTGTATAAAGAAATTAAATAAAAAGAAATATAACATTGATATATAAAGCTATTAAACTTGCTTGCAATATCTTAACACTTAATTAAATATTAGTGACTTTGAACCTGTGGTTGAAAGGGAAAAGAAAAATAAGTTATTGCTCAGCTCAAGGAGTAAGCTCGCAACCTTCAGTCAACCAGTTAGAGTTCAGCTTTTAATAGAAATTTAATTCCTGTTGAGTGGAGTAAGATCACCAAGTGAATCTCTATAAAAGCCAATGCTTTTCTCTCTAATCTTTCTCTCTTTTTTATAGTGTTGCCCGGATAATCTTTGTAACTGGTTGCTGTGAATGTTGCATTTTTTTATTACATTTGTGATAGATGTTGATTTGGAGTTCGCACGGAGCACGCCAATTTGCCGAAAAGGATTTAGCCTTCCACCAAATATTTTATTTGCATTAAAGTTTTTTCGTGGCGTACCTTGTAGAGACGGACAAGGAGGATGCCTACATGGCTGTAAAAGCCCTTTTAAAGACCCTTGAAAAATGGAAAGACCAGAACGAAGCCCCCCAAAATGGTAGGGCCAAAGAAGACTAATTCTATCAGCAAGATAGATGAAACGGAAACTGCAAAGAAGGGAGCGACATCTGGAATCACGTAAAGACTTGCATCATAGATGTAGAGGAATTTTCAAGACACGCACGAGTGTATGCGCACCCGGTGAAACCAGACAAACTAATCTTGGACATAAATGAACTGAAAGCCGTCGAAGAAAATGCTGTTTCAATTTTCATCGTAGAAAAGAAACAAAACAGAATTATCAAATTATCGAAAGAGTACATAATTAAGGCGTAAGCAAACTTTGTTATCCATATATAGCATATCGTCAAGGGAAAGGACTTCCCCATGAGGCATATGCCCAACACTCTGAAGATTGTATAGCATTAACAGAAAGACCTACAAAATAAAGAGTGGAGTACAGAGGGCAGCAATGAACACGAGTTACCGTGTACAAAGTTCTCAGCTTCAACATGGGGAAGCGAGTGGGTGCCTTCTACTAACAGTATGGCGAGATAGTAGACACCATCCCAGACAAGAAGATGGGAGAATGGCAATTTAGCCTAATGCTCAATCGTAGAGAATTTAACGCCATTCTAAAAGGGATGGAAACTACCAGTAATAATATACAGAGAAAAAGGCAACTGTTCAATTACCCCAATTCGGATGAAATGGTCCCATCACATCTAATGAAAGCTATTGGCGCACACTCTCCTCAGAAGTCAGTAGCACACAAAAGCCTGCAAACAACAACGTGGACGGAGAATGGAAACTGGCGAAGAATGGGAAGAAACAGTGATTAACACAGTACAGAAGAGACATCCAAATTGTATGTGTACAGCTTGAAACGAGAGGGACATGGACCATCCCAGGAAAGGAAAAGAAAGAGAAGATCCTGAAAATGATATAATAATAACAAAAACAAACCCATTACTGAAATAATTTTCCCAGTCCTACTCTGGACATTTCCCATTCCAGAATCTCTCCCCCACAAGAAATAATTTTTCTCTCCTTCACCCAAGCCAACACCACATGCATCAATACCTCCTTCATCCCCACCGTTTCTACCTCCTAAACAGGTACCTCGAGCAACAGCAAAAAGGTAAAGTAGCTCCCCAATAGAAAGCTTGGAAAAGGAGATAGAAAAAAAGAAAAATAAAGAAATATCATACGTGAAGACGTTTGTCGTGTCGACACGGAAAATTAAAGAAAACCCAAAAAAACTGCAACCTCATCGCCTGGGGAATTTAAGAGTCCTCCAAAATTTCATAAAGGTAGAAGCGAAATGTGTTAAGGACCTTAGAAATTTCCCTCAGGTACGAAGAGTGTTGCCAGTAGTACGTGCATGTCCGGGCACACAGCAGATATGGTCAATGTTCGGGGAGGTAAACTCTTCCTTCAGCATACTTCCTTCATTGTACATGATAGACGAGGACTTTAAAACAATTTTGCTTTGTGGGGGTCTTTTTTTTATACACATCTCTATATAGAGCTTTAAGTTTAACGTTCCCTAGGGACATCGTTGAGGGTGCTGTCTCAAGATGGTTCCGTTAAGACTGAAATGAGCAAAGGAACAAGCCATCGGTGTCCAGACCCTCGGCATGTTAGTACTGGAAACTCTGATCTCTGGTTAGCAAATTTGAATTGCCGTGGGTTGAGGTACAAGACGAAAAGAGCTCGACTTACACGTGATCTCCAAAGCCTTGGCGTGAATATCTGTTGCATTCAAGAGACCCACCTTATTGCAAGCGACTATATGTTTGTGCTTTCTAGGAGGTGCCGCTTCTTCTCAGCATACACTCGTTGTTTTTTTAGATGTGACCTGCTCACTTGCCTTCGCGGATCCGGCGAGCAGATTGTGCGTACTAGATTTTACCATAAAGTTCCAACTCATTGCGGTTTATGCACCTAATGACTATGGGGAGAGGGAAGCATTCTTTGGGCGGATTGATCGGGTCATAATACCGTTGAAACAGGTAGTTTTAGCGAGTGACTGGAATGCCATCTTTGATCCGACTTAAACCGCGAGGGGGCTAGGATGGGTACTAACATTTCTGATGTAAAAAAAAAGGTGAATTTATCACCAGATTTTATCAGGTTGATAAATTCTGAAATGAACACCCGAAGCAGTTAGAGGGGCGTTCAAGTCGGGCACAGCTTTTTAGCTACATCGTCCGGGTTTTAGTTAGGGCAGTTGACTTAGGACTCTTAAGTTGTTCTAGTTTTCATAGTATAGTTTATTCGGACCATAGGCTTTTGCGGGTTCGCATAAACTTATATAAAAACTAAACTTTGAATGGTTGGTATTGGAAAATTCAACATAATATTAGGTAGCTGTAGTTAAGGTTTAACTGGCCTCCTTGCTTAACAAAGAGGGCAAACCTCAAATAGTTAGAGCTAAATTAAATATAATGTCTGCTGAGGCAACGAACATGACTGCAGGACTGCGTGTGGAACAATTACTCAGTGCTTCTGATCAATATATCGCATGTCACATTGCAGGGTGACGACGGACGGGGTCATGCACAGAATGTGATTACTTTCAGAAGTCTGGTCTAAATTCATCGACAACAATTTGGCCGACTTTCCTCGCCTGGAGGCAGCTGAAACAGCAAGTTGCAAAGATCGGATAACACAGACGGAAATCTAGGAAGCGATGAAGAAGGTCGGGAAAGATAAGACTTCGGGTATTGATGGTTTACGCTACGAAGTATACCATATTTGTCCACTTGGTGGAAGTTATTCAAAGATTGTTTTGTAATGTCAACGAACACTCGTTGCCACTTTTGTAATGTCAACGAATACTCGTTGTCACTTTCGTAATGCTCGTTGTAGTAGAGACTTGTAATCGTTGATACAACTATAGTAACGCCGTTGAACAATACTGGTCTTAGACGCCTTCAAATAACACTCGCACTTGCTCTATAATACTCGGTCGAATAGTAACCGCCGAATAGTGATACGAATAGTAATTCGTATAGTGATCCGAATAGTAATCCGTATAGTGATCACTTAGATGTCACGCTAATTCCCATATATACATTTCCTTTACCATCACGTGATCTACTTATTCAAAATGGGATTGCCTGTGTTTGCTCTCTGATGATCTGTGTTCAAACACCAGTGTCAGCAGCGACACTTTATTCCTATATAACACCTCCCTTTGAGGTGATTTACCCTGGAGTTCTTCTTCAGCTTCGGTTCAATAGTTACAAATTCCGTTGGAATTCTTTTTCTTTTGTCATAAACCCTTGGTTCAACAATTTCTGATGGCGTGGGTACCTTAAACGTGCCATACAGAATTTCCATTGGTACCTGTTTCAGGGATTTTTTTAATCAGTTAATCTACGTTTTAACTGATTAAGGTACGATTATGTTCCCACCTTTATCCCTGTACCATGTATGTTATTTTGCCGATCCGTTTTTAATGCCATCTTCCCAGAATTCCTTTACCCGCTGATACATCTTAAAAATACCTTATCTCCAGGTTTGAAGTATTTACTATTAAACTTATCGACAAACCGTTCCGCTTGTCCGTTTGATCTTGGGTGATAAGGTGGCGTTATAATATGTTCTATTGCTAATGACTTACAAAAACCCTTAAATTCACTAGACATGAATTGTGCCCCATTGTCTGAAACGATAGAGTCAGGAACACCGAACCTTTCAAAAATCTCATGTAAGAAATTTATCGTTATCGCGGTAGTCGGTCTTCTACATTTTAATATTCCTGGCCATTTATTGTAACTATCAACTACCACTAGATCGTACGCTCCGTTTAACGGTCCTGCGAAGTCTATATGTATAGATGGTATATCGTTTTTTGGACAAGGTTGAATTTTGATAGGCGGTGACTTCGCTGCCAGAGCACAACCTCTGCATGATTTCACTAGATTTTGGATATCCTTATCCATTTTAGGCCAGTAAGTATAACACATCATTAAGGATTTCGTTCTAGAAATTCCTGGATATCCTCTGTGAAATTCTTTTAACATAAGTCTTTGCAACGATGCTGGTATTACCACTCTCCCTGCATACATAAATGCATCATTACATAATGAAAATGCATTATTTCCAATAATATTTTTCCTTTAGAGCTTAATTTCTCCTTCATTTTCATTATAAAGTCGTTTTTTCCGCCTTAATTTTTATTTCCTCCCATGTTATGGGCAGTTCTCTTACAGTATTGTATAATATGCTATTAATTTCATTTTCGGGTCATTATCGCAAGTGGTTCGCAGAATCTTGTTATTAGTCTAGACAATCGTTCTGCATGACTTAATTTTTTGGATGGTAGAAATTCCATTTTATAATTCAGTGGGATAGTTACCCAGCACTGCAGCATGTGTGGGAACACACTTTTTGATCCATATATGGACAATAATGGATGATGGTCTGTCTATAGTATG